TCCTCCACCAACATTCACTGGCTACTGCTCATTGAAAAATAACACACCCCCGAGTTCCAATGGATTCACTACCTTATTTTTGGTTTGAAAAATACACAACCTCTTACTGTGACCTTTCTTCCCCCGTTGATGCGCCCACCGTTAAGCGCCGAATGCGCCAAAGTTGCCGAGCCGGTCCGATCGCTTCCGATCCAAATCCGACCACACATGTTCGACGTTCAATTCTTAACCCCTTGCTGTTCTCTCGATGCACATTATTCGCGGTCGACGGCAGATGTCCTGTGTCTAGAAACGGAGCTCTTCACACAGCCTCAAGACAGTAGAAATGAGACTTCTGTACAAGACATGCCTTCGCTTCGTTCCGGCACATGACCTGCTTGTTGGTGATCACAATTCCAAAGTATGTATTGATTCGAAGGATAGTATTGGTGGCTAGTTATAGCACATAGAGGTGCGAAATACGAGGGAAAGAGCAGCTTACCGCCGACCACACGTTCGAATAGGCACCGTGAACCGAAATTGTGACTAGAAGAGAGAAACCTGCGTGCTCTAATCGTAAAAGTTCAGCCAAAGACACACAGTTGAATCCTCAGGGGGGTATTTTCTCACCGCGCCGCAGACCAATATATTTCTTCAGCTGCGGCTACGTAGCCCCCCTGGCCAGTATAAAGGACCAACATCCATGGCCAGTTCGTTCAATATTCCGTCCCTGCTCTCTTCATTCTCGGTTCACTGGCCTGTCTCGCGCCTGCGGATTCTCGGTTCATCAACACCTCCTGTACCTTCAATTCTCAAGCATATAATACTGACATTGCTTCGCCCGGCCTTCGTGTGGCTACTGTCGGCAAGGAGAGCTACACCTACACCTATCACAAAACCCCCACTCTCCACGATTTTCACCCCCTATTGGTTTGGCCTACTTGCCTGAACCTGGCTCCCTACGGGTTTTCTCATAGTAAGTACTCAGTCTATTTTTTCCCTTCGCTCAAAGGTTCTGGGTGGTGTACTAGTGTATCACATAATGTCCAAAACAGGGGAAACCAGGGTGTGTGATAGTGACCGCCACTGTGCTCTCAGTTATCAGCCTATATACGATGGGAGACATGCCTATAGGATGCGGATGTAAGTTCCGAGTCGATTGATCCATGTTGCGAGGGAAACGGACCGGATCTGAGGAGGATACAAGAGAATTAGCAGGAGCCATCAAATCATTCCCAAAGTGGAATGCAACCGCTCTGACAGCGGTGTATTTTTGTGTAGAGATCGGGGGTGTGACGTTTTTCGGGCAATACAAAGTAGCAGTGTATTTGGGAACAAAGATCAGCAGTGAAAATTATCTCAGTGTTGAAGGTGTGGATATTCCCGCTACGCCGACCTGTGTTCCTTTGTAAGTCAAAAATGTGGTGGTGTAACTTTTTTGGGGTCTTAGAACCTGCGCAATTGTGTGAATCAATATGGTGTGAAAGCTAACATCCCGGGTTGCGACCCTGTGCATGAAACTGCTAATTCACTCCAGGTGGTGTAAATTTTCGCAAAAAACCCGATCCGGTGTTTTAAATAATAATGTCTCACTATTACAGCCATAACTTTTGACACTTTTTTTCACACTTTGGCGCTCTCAAATTTCAAGTGTCGACACTGATTTGGCGGGCCCACTCAAAACGGTGACCAGAGCTCCCAGCCGCTTCGCAACGTGATTAGCGCAGCCACGTAATGTCGAAGCGGATGGTCACGAGCCTATTTTCGGGCTATTCACGAATTCACCCGAAGGGAAGAGACCGGAAATTGAGCGGGATAGAAGCGATTTGATTGTGTTGTTGTTGCTTGGATCAACAGCTGCCCGCAGGGAACGCGTGGTCCGGAATAGCCATTTATGGTAACCCGCTTAAGATCGAGAATTCAAGCTCAGATCGACCGGTCTGTCTATCGACAGTATCACTTTTGATACGACAGACGGTCACCGGTCTAAGTCTTGCCCCACCCGAACCTTTATTCCGTTGGCGTCTGTATTGAGCATCACACGCCTCGGTCCGACCTAGGGCATGCGTGGCAGAACGGCTACCTCCGCACTGCTATCTCCCAGGGAACGAGAGCATGTCCATACTCCGGTAGGAAAATCAAGGTGCCACCGATTTCAGGGACTTGCAACGTGTTTGTAAAATAAGGGCGCCACACGATCCCTCAGGCGTCGGGATAGTTGCAGGTCCATCCATTTTTCTCTGAAGCGTCGACGGAATGCATGCTCTTTGGAAGAACTGACATGCAAAACGCCAACCCATCGGAGCCCGAAGTCGGGCCATGCCATCTGAAAAATGTGAGGCTCGATATTCCCATTCTTGCTGTGCATTTATCGCGTGCCTATTCCGCCAAGACATTTACGTTGCTCAATAGATACGCATCTCAATGATGTTTTAAAAATATTCCGCATAACGATTGTCAACAATTCCGTGTCGTTCTCGGAACTGCATGATACACTCTCTTTGAGAGCGCGTCTTTAGATGGTACTTCTCCGTGGTATCCTGATTTCTTGCAGTCAACAAAATTGCCTGCTATTTTAACCGTGCCAATCCGCACCGGCTGTCGAGTTTACCAGGCGGCAATGGCACCACATGTGACATAAATCTGTTCAACCTTCTTCGACGGGCTGCAGCAACTGCTCCAACAGAACCACCTAAATGTCGCCTCCGTAACAACTGTCACAATACATCAGCATCATTTATTAGAAGGAACTGGAGCTTAAAAGCACGGCGCGCAGGTGGTTCTGCAGTCTCCCCACACGCCCAAATGCCTTCTCTGCCCCGGCTTTTCTTCTTCGCAGCCTTCCTCTCAGGCGTGTACTGCCATGTACCGGATAACCAGAGTCGTTCTGTAGCACGCCTGTCCCTGCTGCAGCCTCTCATCCGGCACCATGTCCAGCCCCGCGAGACTACGATCCGCGGCCTCCTTGGCGCTCGCCAGCTGTTCTGCGACCCCGGCCTGAACTTGTGCAGCAACCAAGGATGCTGCACGCCTCAAGAAAACTGCTGTTCAGGTTCGTGCAATCCTGTCTTTGCCTTCTCATGGTGCAGATGGAGGCTGTTGCGCCGGGAAGTATGTTGGCAATCCAGTTTCATATCTTGTTTGAGGTTCCTCATTATTTTGTTTCACTTAGTCAATACTGCGATGGAGGAGGCTGCTGTCCAAACGGCGAGGTCTGCAGTGGAGTCTCGGACCAATGCGCAGAATCTGGGTTCGAGCTTTGTCCGAACGACAATTATTGCTGCCGTAGGTCCAGTTCTGGGCGCAATTTTAGTACACCTCTGATGTCTTTGGCCTGTGAAGCGACCGGCCAAAAATGCTGTTAGTGGTTTTCTTCATTGGAAGCGTACCTTCGACTCAAGAATTCTGTGTCATTCTAGTCCGCAAGTCGGACAGAAGCCCAAGTTCTGAAGATGGCGGCGGTTCTCCCCCTCCCCCTCCCCCTCCAACTACCACACACAAGACAGCGGATCCTACAACTACCCCGAAGGCCCTCACGACCACGCGCAGAACTACTACCGATATCGATACCACGCCGGATACACCAACAACAATCCGTAGGCCCCTCTTCTTTTCACGGTGGGATATCGCGCCTCATTTCGCTGTTAAGGCAGTTCCGGACTGACTCAAACAACCGGAGCGGGAAGCCCCACATTCCTTCCCTCTGCAGGCGGCTCCCAGAGCAGTGGTCTTTCTTTCCCAGCTGCTGGTGATCCGACCTCAGGCTCCTCCTCTGCAGGGTCTACGGACCCGGCGGCAGCGAATTCTGGGTTTAGACTCAAGGCCGTTCCTTGGCTGCCTCTCGTGGTTCTTACCATGGTGGTTGCCAGTGTCGAGTCCGCGCCATTTTCGTCACTTCTTAATTTTGTGAAACTTTGTAACTTTGATGGGAATCGGTGAAAGTTCGTGATTTTGATAGCTTTCTGTGAAAGTTCGTGAGTCAGTATTCCGGACTTGTCAAGCGGCGGCTCCTCGGCACATCACGGAGTGATGCGTATCAGCAGCTTGCCGAGATTGGCCGTTTAGGCTCGGGTTAGCTGGTTAGAGGTTAGCGGTTAGGGTTAGCAAGGTATCTATATGAAAGAAATCCCCAGAGACTTGAGTGGAGGAGAATGATGGCCAGATTGATGTGTTTGATTTGTGTGGGTTGTACTTCACGAACTTCCCCGGAAATTTGCCAATGTGACGAAGTTTTGCAACTTGCCATCAAAGTGACGAAACTTCGCAACCTTAAGCGAAGTTACGAAGTGACGAAGGTGGGTACGACTCGCCAGTGTCGCAACCCCGGAATTCTAGATCTGCACTTTAGTCCTGAGGATGGTGGAGACGTCTTACTTTGTTCCTTGTGTGTTTCAACATTTTTTAATCAGGAGGTCAATTACAAGATTGCTGAAGACGTTGTAGACTCGGAATGCGGGCCGTTTTATGCCAGATTCTTCATGTTTTACCTGACCAGACAGTTTTATTCAGTTTTATTTGGATATAAAAGGCTTCCAGCCACTTTCAGATCTTTACAGCCGTTTGTGGAGCTTAGGGCGGGGCCGATGTTTTCTCTGTTTCGTCACTTATGGGCAGAACAGCTGCCCTGACGTCAGTTCTTCCTGAATTCTCTCCAGATGTAATGCGATCGATCCGCAGCGAGCCACACCCTCGGACTCCTTTTGGGGTGATTCAATCAAATTTCGCAATGCTTGGTGACTGAACAAAGGGAGCGGGTGTACATCATGCACCACATCCAAGTTCCTTTGACCCTTGCGTACCTGAATACATAATCATGCACCAAGCCCCTGGCCGGAAGCAAAATCTAACCCAGCATGATCTACATTCCAAGTTCCCGCCAATCGCGTGGCATATGAATCCAGATCCTCGGGTTACAGGGAGGGGCGTGGTTTGAGCCTGAGACCAAGAGGATTCTTTATCATGATGCCCAAGTTCCAAGAGAGAAGAGAGAGAGAAAAGTTGAGACGGATCTCTCAGGTTAATTCGGACGCTGGGGATCGAACCCAGGCTTCCCGCATCACGAGATAAAGACATAAAGAACGGGCGTGCACCGTGCACTACGTCCGAAGTTCTTCGGATGGGTGTGTACCTGAATACATGCTGTAAAAATCATCCGCTCCACATGAAGCGCTTGGCAGGAATTTTCTTTAAATTGCATTGCCGACCTTTAATTAATTGGTTGGGTCAAGAATTAGATCCCGCGCTGGTAAGTAAGTAAATCGGTAGATAGGTAGAATTAAGCCACGCGTGAGCTGAGCGCTGAGAGAGCGAGAAAATTATGTGCAGGTGGACAGGAAAAAGAAACCGTGTCGCGCAGGATTCAGACAGTGGGAATCTAACCCAGCCCTCCCGCCTCTAAAAGTTGTAACCCTGAAGAGGGAGCGGGGGTGCACCGAAAAAATGGTCCCCCTCCTTGAGTCCTAAATTCAGATCGCCGGGCTCGAGTTATCGGAGAGCGAGATGATTGTGGACGTCTTGTAAGGAAGGAGGACAAAAAACAACGTCGCCATGCGAATTCGGACACTGGGGGGTCGAACCCAGGCCTCCCGCTTTTCTCAACTTTTCAATGTAGTAGAAACGGGCGTGCACCATTCCTTTCAGTCTTGCGGCCCTGAATACATCCCACAAAAATAATCAGCCTACGAAGTGTGCAGAACAGAAGTTAAACTCAACACCAACTCAACACCAGCACATCCAAAACAAAGGAGCAGGTTGAAATTCAAATCCCCGGGCTTTAGACTCTAGAGCGAATATCCGGGGGTTGTGTGAGAGCGGGTTGCACAAAAGGTAAAAAACCTGTTTCATTCTCGACAATTCGGACGCTGGGAGTCGAACCCAGGCTTCCTGCATCAACTCAAATGTAGCCATTGAAGGAGAGCGGGGGTGCGCCGTGCACCACGTCCGAGCTCCTAGCTTGGATGTGTACCTGTACCTGAATATACGAGTTTTCGAGCGGAGGATCCACACGCAATGGGCGGGAAAATGTTATTTTATTTACACAGGCAAGATGGACAAGACACGGAAGATGTCACTGAGGTATAGCGGACGTCCGCGGGTGGTATGTAGGTGATAGGAGTAGGTATGTAGGGATTATAGGGATGCGGTATGTGCGGGACGGCGATAGTGTGGATGCGGGGCGGAGGATAGGGACGTGCTCGCTGCGGCCGCTGCGCGGGAGGCCGTGAAGACAGACACCTCGCGGCGCGGGAGGTAGAGGGAAGATATAGTGGGATGTGGGAGGCCGACGATGCACGGACGTGCGATACAATGCTATGCGGAGTAGATGGCGATAGGAGGATCGCGGCGGCGTCGATACCGTAGCGCAGGCGCTAATTGATGGGATGAGGCGGGAGGGAGCCGCCGCGCGCGGGGGGGATGCGGTGGGGTCCGGCGCGACAGGCGGCGGTTTTCGACGGCGGCAGGACACGTAGGGAGCGAAGGCGAGGGCCAGCCATGTGGCGCACCTTCCACTCAATAAGTCTCGCTCCTCCTCGGCTTCCCCCTCTCCCTCTCCCTATCCCGCCCCGAATCGCGACTCCGACTGGTCTCGCGGCTCAGCTTCCCGCTCCCGCCCCCACCGCCGCCGCCGCCGAAGCCAAAGACACGCCGCAGCAGCGGCACCTCGCGCGTCGGGCTCCGCACGGGCTGCGGTTGGTACATGGGCTGCGGCTGTGCGTATACGGGGCCGGGCGCGTACGGCGGGGGTTGCGGTGCGTACATAGGCTGCGGGCCCGGCCCCGGCTGCGCGTACATAAACCCCGGGGGCGGCGGCGGTGGCGGGTAGGACCCCTGGCGGTGCGCGACGGGCGGTTGCTGGTACGAGTAGCTGCGCGTGTGCGTGGGGGGCGCGGCCTGCGAGGTCGAGCGCGAGCGGCGGTGCGGTGGCGGCGGTGGCGGGGCGGGAAGGTGGGGGTAGAAGTAGGGCTGCACGACCGCGGGGTATAAAGGTTGCTGGACGCCGTAGATGTCATTTTTGGGCGGGGCGGTCTGTGGGCGCGGGGGGCCCGTGCGCTGGGGTTGTTGCAGTGGCACCGGTGGCGGCGGGGTGCGCTCGCGCTCGCGGTGGCGGCCCGACGAGCGCGTGCGCCGCCGACCCGGGAGCGGGGCCGGGCCGGCGGCGGGGGTGGGCGGGGCGAAGGGGTCCGCCTGGGGCACGAGGTGGGTGCTCTCCGTCCAGCGCGCGATGCGGGCCTGGGTCTCGAAGTGCCGGTTGTAGGCTTCGGGGCTGAAGTCGTATTCCGTCATTTTGGGAGGCTATCTTCTGCTAGTAGATGGCGCTGGAGATCGGGATATGGATGTGGATGTCAAGGGAGGAGGATGGGGAGGAGGAGGAGGAGAGGGACATGCCAAGCGGCGCCTCAAAATTTTATTTTGTGTGGGGCGTCACGCCACGCCACGTGCACGGTCCCCATCGCCGATCATCCGCGGATGCAATTGACAGTGACCCGATTTGGAAGTTCCCTCTCAATTGCGCTTGTCCTCTTGTTGTCCTCATTCCATCTTCCATCTTCCGTCTCATCTACTTGTCTTGTGCAACTCTGCATGGTCCCTGCGTCCCTAACACTGTGCCTTACCCCTCTTAACATGCCGGGCAAGGCAGGAAGCCACACCGACTCCGTCGCTATCTCCGTCATCTCCGCTGACAGATCGCACGCCCGCCGCGTTCTCCTCGTACGCCACTCTGCGGACGCAGTGACGCACGTCGCTGACCCTATCATCAATGCCTTCACCCCGCGGCGCGTGACTCCCCGGACTGCGCACACAACGCAAGGCGATGACTCGTTCGACTTGAAGTACACGCACAGCCCACGCCCCACCTCATATCGGATCTTCCGCGCCAGCTTTGACATCCACATACTGCTACCAGCGGCGGGCGCCGGAATCGCCTATCTCCGGCCACGCCTATTCCTGCCCTGCAGGCTGCATGTCCCCGCTCTGCGCCGCGTTGATTCCTGCCCGCTGCATTCCAATCCATCTAATCACCCCTGCCGCCGCCGCCGGGCCAGGGGTGATAGGCAGATCGATGGGAATGTAGGGCCTTACACCTTACAGCGTGCGTCTCCCATCCTGACCCCTACCCGTATGTCGTGCGCACAGCGTATGTCGCCATCGCTGGGAGGACCGGTCCCGCGGATTGCCCCACACTTCATCTCCTGCTTCTAATTAATTAAACACCGCATCGATCTACGCGCGCTTTCTTCTCTTCTCCGTGCCGGCGCCCACCGGAGCTTATCCCATTCGGATGTGTTATGGGTCCACCCTTCCATGATCCATCATTCCGGTGGCGTTCCGCGTTCTTCCGTTCTGAGCTGCGTCTTTGTTCTGTTCTCTTCCAATCGTGATTGTGTTCATTTCCGCTCTGGTCCCAGTCCATTGTTCTTCCTAGTTCTTGACTCCGCTCGCCTCGCCAAGATATGCGTCAATATCACATCATAATAATATCCACATGATCAGCCTTCTCCCGTCCTGGGTTGCGTCTTGTCCATGCCCTTGTCCTCGCCCTTGTTCTGGCTCTACTCTATTTGATTATGTTCTCTCCCAATTGTGTTCATTTCGGTTTCTATTCTTCTTCCTGGTCCTCGACTCCGCTCGCCTCGCCAAGATATGCATCGATACCCATCTCCATCTTCGTCTCACCTCGTCATATCGTCATATCACCCCCTCCTCTGTTGATTACCACCATTACCTCTTGGCGCTCCGCGTGCGTCCGCCGATCGCTCTCGTCATATCACCCCTCTCCTCTGCTGATTACCACCATTACCACTTGGCGCCCAACTCCGCGTGCGTGCGTTCGCTGATCCCTATCATCATCGTCAGCAGCAAATTTCCAATGTACACAGTGACGCAACCACAAATCAATCACGGCAACGGCAATGGGACTCGCACGTCTCCTACTTACCTTGCTACAAAAGAGGGCTATAGACTCGGACGTGGTGCACGGCGCACCCCCGCTCTTCTTATATGGGGCCAAATAGATGAAAGTGGGAGGCTTGGGTTCGACTCCCGGCGTCCGAATATATACTCTTCAATAAACCTTTTTTTTTTTCAAAAAGCCTGCCCACTTGGAAATGCGCTGATCAATCCAATCTCGCATAGGATCGAATGCTAAATATTGAATTATTACTTATTACTCCTGGACTCGACCTGGAGGCCTGAAGTTGGAACGCTACACATCGCGTGCTGCTCGGAGGCGAGCTTCAATAACTCTCCTACTTAGCCCGCAGCAGAAGAGGACTACAGACTCGGACGTGGTGTACGGTGCACGCCTGCTGCTTTTATCGGTTCGAACAGGTGTAAGCCAGAGCCCTGGGTTCGACTCCCAGCGTCCGAATGAGAGGTTCTCCTCTAGGTTTTTGCCTGTTCAGTCTTCTTGATCTTCTATATTCCCTATCGACCACGCTGATCAACCCGCGCATAGGATCGGATCGTTTTGGTTCAAGAAGCGCGGCTCAAGTCCGTTTGAGCGGAAGACGGAATATTGTGCATGAAGTGAGCTTCACAACTTTCGTAGTTAGCCCGCGGCATAAGAGGGCTATGAACTCAGACGTGGTGCACGGCGCACACACGCTTTCCTTGCTTGAACGAGCCAGATCGATGAAAGCGGGAGCCCTGGGTTCGACTCCCAGTGTCCGAATGAGCATTCAAGGTGACACTCTTTTTCTCCTTCCCCTGGCTCACCACTCTGTGTCCATATTAACTCTGGATTCCTGCGGAGTATCGCACGCGTCCACGGTCCGCTCCAGATGATGCGTGCGGCGCACCAGTGAAGCTCGTCAGTGAAGGCCCACAACACACACCTATGTAACGTTCAAAGCTGGGGCTCACATTTGAGTTCAAAGCAGGGATAACAGCTCGGATGTGGTGCACGGCGCACGCCCGCTCTCCTTCAAACCAAGGCATCGGGCAATGAAAGCGGGAGCCCTGGGTTCGACTCCCAGTATCCGGATTTTCATTTTCTCTCAGACCTTTTTGCCTCCCCAGATTGCACTCGTGTTTTAAAATTCCCTATCGAGCCACGCTGATCCATCCCCGCAACGGAATTGCTTCTGGCCTGGGGTTCAAGAAGCGCGACTCGAGTCAACTTGAGGAGACGCAATATGGCGCATGAGGTAAGCTTCACGACTCTGGCATTTAACCCGGTGCAGAAAAGAGCTATGAACTCGCACGTGGTGCACGGCGCACACCCGCTCTTCTTATGGGGGCGACAGACTTCGAAAAAGATGAAAGTGCGAGGCCTGGGTTCGACTCCCAGCGTCCGAATGGTCCAGGAAACCGCGAGCTCTTTTTATATCCAGTCGATTTTGGCTCGGATTCCCATCTCCCTGCATGCGGTTCGATTGGATGTGTGTGTGCTCACGAATTCGTTTCATTGCTCCTTACGCAATCAACCAGGATATGGGTGCGTCGGCTCACCGCGGCCGTCAGGAGACTGCTACTTAGCCCACTTCAGGCCAGGGATATAGACTCGGACGTGGTGCACGGTGCGCACCCGCTCTCCTTGAAAGTCGAAATACGGAGTAAGTGGGAGCCCTGGGTTCGACTCCCAGCGTCCGAATATATGGTGATCTGTATCTTTTTCACCTCAGGGCTGTCGAGTTGTATTGATCTTTGCAATACCCCTATCTACCTATGTATGCTGATCAATTTTTGAACAGGATCGAATTACTCCTCACCTGGGTTCGCTTCAGCTGAAGACGGAATATCGCGAGCGAGAAGAGCTCCAAAAACCCTTGTACATGCTTCGTTGCAAAGGGAAAGGAGGACTCAGACGTGGTGCATGGCGCACATCCGCTCTTCTTATGTGGGTGACGAACAAGTGAAAGCAGAAGCCCTGGATTCGACTCCCAGCGTCCGAATGGTCCAGAATACCGCGAGCTCTTTTTATATCCAGTTGATTTTGCCTCGGATTCCCATCTCCCTGCATGCGATTCGATTGGATGTGTGTGTGCTCACGAATTCGTTTCATTGCTCCTTACGCAATCAACCAGGATATAGGTGCGTCGACCCACCGCGGCCGTCGGGAGACTGCTACTTACCCCGCTACAAAAGAGGGCTACAGACTCGGACGTGGTGCACGGCGCACCCCCACTCTTCTTATGTGAGTGCCAAATAGATGAAAGCGGGAGCCCTGGGTTCGACTCCCAGCCTCCGGATACTGAAGTTATAGCCCGGTTTTTGTTTTGTTTTGTTTTTCACCGCGCTCACTACTCTCTTGTCACAGAGTATCAACTCTGGTGTCCTGCAGAGTATCACACACGTCCGGATGCCGTGTGTGGTACGTCTCGACTGTCTTTATCCCGTTTGCACCTGATCATAATAAGTCGATTGGATTCGGTACATGCTCTGAGATCTGATTCATCGTCGCTCCCGTACAGGCCGACTTTTGGCCGGCAGTATCAGGGTCGTAATATCGCATCATCATGGGGGTCGAAGGGCTAAAAAGTCTCTACTTACCGCGGCCGTCGAGGGACTCCTACTCACCCTGCCTCAATCCAGGAATATCAATCTCGGATGTGGTGCACGGCGCACCCCGCCCTTCATGATTTGTCTTCGTCAATACAAGGAACGGCGGGAAGCCTGGGTTTGATTCCCAGTGTCCGAATGCATAATGGACCGCTTGTTTTTCACCTCCCGAGTTGTGTTGATCTTTTACTGTAAATTTTCCTGCTGATGAATTTCGAGGAGCATGGAATTACACCGGGCCTCGGCTTCGAGAAGCGCGGCTTCAGTCGAGTTGAGCTGAAGACGGAATGTCGCGGCGAGGGGAGTGTCAATACGCTGGTGCTTAACCCGCTACAAAAGAGGGCCATAAACTCGGATGTGGTGCACGGCGCACCTCCGCCCTTTATGATTTGTCTCCGTCAATACAAGGAACGGCGGGAGCCGTAGGTTCGATTCCCAGCGTCCGAATGTTACGATTCCGATACAGTTTTTGTTTCCTTTCCTCCCGAGGCTCACTAGTCTTTGTCGCTCTTGGCTCCGGGATCTTGGATCGTCGGCTGTGACCACGGCCGTGTACTGCGCATCGGGGTCAGGTTCGTCTGGGATCCGGTGAAGGTCCAGATACCTATCTTGCGTCGGAGGTATGTGTGTAACCTTTAAAACTCTGGTCTTCATCTCGCTTCAAAGCAGGGATAACAGTTCGGACGTGGTACGGCGCACCCCTGCTCTCCCTTTGGCAAAGCGGAGTTGGAGGCCAGCGTCCGAATAAATAACGATTTCGATCCTTCTTATCCGCCGAGTTGTATTGATCTTTGACTGTAAATTTCCCTGCTGATGAATTATCGAGGAATACTGTATGGAATTCGGCGCGGATCGCCTCGGACTTGGCTGAACACTATTGCGGGCGCCGAAGGACTTAGCAGTCCTATATCTATCCTGCATCGAAAGAGGGTTATAGACCCGGATGTGGTGCATGGCGCACACCCGCTTTCCTTGGTTCTCAAACCATACTAAGTTGGGAGCTCTGGGTTCGACTCTCAGCGTCCAAATAGGTCTTTATAATCCTTTTTACTGTTAAAATGCCTACCGAAATGCGCTGATCAATCCAATCTCGCGCAGGATCGAATATTAAACGATTACTCTTACCCCTGGACTCAACGTGAAGTTGAAATTAGCATGTTAGCGAAGGCTACACATCGCGCGCGACTCGGAGGCGACTTTCAATACTCTCCTACTTGCCCCGCTACAGAAGGGCTATAGACTCGGACCTGGTGCACGGCGCACATAGACTCGTAACCAATCTGCCTATGATCTGCGACAATGTGGCGAGCACGTTGCCGTAAGCACGGCAAAGAGCTTGCCTATATTGCATCGCCGTGGGCGTCGAAGGGCTGAGAAGTCTCCTACTTACCCCGCGGGAGGGTGAGGAGGAGGAGAACGTGGTGCATGGTGCACACCTCTTTCCCGTTAGTTTGAACTACATTACAGGCGGTGGGCCTGGGCTCGACTCCCAGCGTTCGAATAGGTGGGTTCTCCCCAATTTTTTGTTTGTTTTATATTCGGGCCCGCCACTGGGGATCATCGGTACGAATGATGCCCCACAGATCCCTTTCCTTTTTCACCCTGTGGGCAGTGACTTCAGTTAGTACTACAGCGAGTATCCCACGCCCGCTTCTACTACTGTAAAAGGCAGGTCAAGCGGGAAGCCTGGGTTCGATCCGCAACATCCGACCCGGTGTGAAAAGGTCCTTTTGTTTTGACTTCCAGTGCCACCGGACCATAATTTGTTAGGACCACCCTCTGGCATTTAGTGCCATCTGGGGATCTGGATTTCCACCTCGGAATGCAGGTTCTCTTTTAATTCCCTCCCAGTGGTTGGGACTGATGATTCTTGCGCTTGTTCAGGCGTCCGAATATCCCCCAGCGGGCAATCTTTTATCGCTTTCAACCTGACGATTCCCCAGCCTTGGCGAGCTACAGCTCCATCCCTTACGCTGAATTGTTGGGGTTTGTGACAGTGCGTTTGGATCCGGATGGGCCGCCCGGAAGCTTTTGAGAATGGTCCCCACACATCAATCCCTATCTGGTAACATCAAAACGTGACCTCCGGAGCTCCGGAGGACTGTCGAGCATTGTTTGTCAATCACTGCCTCTTTCCTCTGTACCGCCACGACACCACCTCCCGACTGCAAGGGAGGGTGCCCCATCGCTCAAATAACCACCCGCGGACCATCCTCGAGCATCCCGAGGCTTATATTGCCCTCGGGCTCCCGGTTTGTCTTCAAGTTCTCCTTGCGCCGCCAGCCGCACCCGCAATGTTCGATGCCACCGCTCCGCAGTGCGGGTGGCATGCTTACAGATATACTGTGAGTCTTTCTATTCCATCCTATTCAAATTGTGCTCAATCTTTGATACAAATTACGCGTCCCGACGCGTCGTGGGCGCGTTGGTGCGGTCCGTGACGCGTCCTATTGTGTAAGTATTTCATGTTTACACATACTTACACATTCACGACTTAGTAATGCAATGAGAATTTATTTCTTGAAGTCCCTTGCCCATACACAGTTCGGGCCTGACCATGCCACCCACCCATTCTCGACTTCATGGTGGCTTTGCGGAGCATCGCCGGAGGGTCCGGAGATCACGTGTGTGAATTACCATATGCAGAATGATGTGTGGGGACAAAACTGGCGATCTCCGCCCGGATTTCGGACGGTGGTTAAATATTATAGAAGCATTGATTCTTGAGGTCTACAGTGACTGTGCCTATGCTGATTATTTTTTTCAGGATATATTCAAGTATAAATGGGAGTGAGGAAGGTAGGATCTCGGACATAGTGCACGGCGCACCCTCTCCGGGCGGTGATCTCCTAAATCGTGCTTGTTGCT